CACTTTCTACTACTTTCTGACAAAGTCAATGGGGAACCAGATTTACTTAACAACCATGTACTAACTTAACAATTGCAATGATTCACTTAACAATTTGGCAAAAAAGGTCATAAAGTGAGGCAAAATTCACCCAACTGTCTCGCTTAGCAACAGAAATTTTGGGCTCAATTGTGGTCATAAGTCAAGGACTACCTAAATTAAAAATGCACTCTTTGTGGACAGAGAAGAAAAATAACAATCTCATTTTTCAAAGACATTCCAAAATATCCAGTACAAACTCTCCAGCCCATACCAACTGAATACCATTATAAGTCAAACAATTTCACTTTAAAAAATTATAAAGGGGATAGGAAATGTGATAATAAGTGGCCTACCCATTATTGTAAAAGTAGCATTAGAAACACTTAACTCTCACTGCCTATGGGAGATCATTAAGAACTGAACCATATATTCAGAAAAGCCATTTACACGCACCAAGAGTGTAGGTTTTCTTCTCCTGTTGGTGTTTTACACATTGGATTAAAAAAAAAGACTATTTCATTCTGTAACTCTGATTATCTTACTTTTCTTAATTGTTTACCTCTCTTTTGCTTTCAGTCTCTCTTACATCATAAAGTTTGATAGAAGTACTGCATGTATTTGCATCTTCCCTCTAACCTTTGATATGTAGCCTCATGCCCAGCTCAAAGATCATGGAGTCTTCTGCAATGCCTCATAAGATACTTACATCACTGAACTCCAGTGGCAAACTCTCCGTGGGGCAGAGTTCAGCTGCACTCAAGTAGAGATCCGTGGAAGCGGTTTCCAGTTCCTCAGGAACACACAGTACCTGTTCAGGAATATACATCTGAGGTGGTAGCTCTAGATGGAGTGGGCAGCAGGGGTTTTCAGAAAGGTTTACAGGCACTGGCTTGCTGCAGGGTGCTTCTTCTGACCCTTGGCACAATTTAAATAGGAGTTGATTGGTATCCTGGCAGATATCTGACGATGGAGTCAAGGAAACTTGGCAAAATTTGCAATGCATAATAGATATAAAAAGTAGACCTTTAAGCAAGACATCTGACTTTGGAAATGTACAATATATAAACTAGGGAAATAAAGGGGAACTTTACTACTTTTTTCCTTGGAGAATCTTGTATGTGTTAGAAAATATTGGGGTTAAATATAAGCTCTATACATTAGCATAATCTGTTAACCAATAATAAAAATCAACTTTTGACTTAGAACTGGGGTATTGTTCTATACTAGTGGACTGATTCTGTTCTCTAACTTCAAAATAAAAATACGTGTTTAAACTACACATACATTGAATTTTTAGTAGCAACGTTTATGCATAACTGAAAATGTAATTTTATGCAAAAAAAATTAAATTTACAACAGAATTTAGCTCAGTCCACAAGCTTCCAACTAAATACCATACCATAGTGAATTCTAAATATTACTTTTTGCTGGCCTAAAAGTTATTAAGCCTTTTATAAGGGCCTTTTTTCATATACATTCACACATGGGACTGAAGTGATCCAAACAATTTGGTTTTATTTCAGGCTGTGGCTTAACTGTAATTTTATGAGGTTTTATTGTTGCTTCCAACTGAATTGACTGTTCTACTTTAATTCTGAAGCTATAGAACAGCCAACAGACCATAGGAAGTCACTTCTTTGGGCTCCTGCTTGAAACTAGAGGCTACAGCAAGCCACCAGCCTTGATTCAGGGCCAAGAAAAGCACAAAGATGGGAAATCATTGGGCCATATTGGGACAGAAATTGAATTTTGATAATACCCATGAATATCTTACACTGGGGGGAAAAACCTTTGATGGAAAATTTTTGTGAAGAGTTTGGTGGAAGCTGGATGATGGCTTTAAATCAATCGCATTCTAAGTCACATTCTAAGTCACTTCTTGTGAGATGGTCAGCTACATAAATTTGATTAATAAATAAATAACTGTCCACACAGCCACATTCTGCACCAGGTGAAGGTCCTGGATGCTTTTCAAGACCAGACCCATGTATAGTATGTTGCAATGATCCATTCTGGAGGTGACCAGGGCATGAATGATAATGAGTGCAGCCTCATGGTCCAGGAAGAGCACAGCTGGTGCACAACACAAAACTGTACAAAGTGTCTCCTAGCCATGGGTGTGTCCCTTGCTCCTTGAGCAGGAACCAAGAGTCAAGCAAGGCCCCCAGGTTGTGCAGTGGGTCTCTCCGGGGCAATAAAACCCCATCCAGTACCAAATATATTAAATCACATATCAAAGTTTTGGAGTTTGACTGTTTAACAGGAATTGAATTTGTATGAAACCTGGATGGTGGCAAAAAGAATGATATTAAGAAATATTCCAGCTATCAAAGGAATGGTTGTCAGAAATATGTAATCTTTCTGTTTTGGAAAAGATATTTTCTACCAATCAAAGGATGCAGCAATATGGGTTACTGTGGCAGAGATTCTGTGATTAGAATTGGTACTATTTTAAGATATTTGTACTTTTAATTTTTTTAATGTTTTATTTTTAAGATTAAAGATTTTGTTAAAAAATAGATATTAATTTCAAAAAACTCAAACGTGTTTAATTGGTCTAATTGTGAGAAGTATTAATACTAACACCAGTGAGAAAAAGGATACGAGTAAGGCAATGTCTTGTCATTGGGAGAGACTGGTTGGAACATCGAACATCATCTACAAAGGCCAAACACCTCTGGCTAGAACGGGTAGTGTGTGCCTGGAAGGTACAAACCAAACACAAGATAATATTTTAGAGAAGCCACTGTTTTAATATGAATTCTTTCAGTCATATATCAGCCTCTGAAATATGCGCATCAACTCCTCCTGTGTTTTCATAATCACACAACAGACTAAACTTATTAATATTATAAAAAGCCGGCTAAAAAGTGCCTCATCGTGAAGGAGTTTTACTCTTCCCAAATTGATGTTCCCTTGAGAACACTTGGTTTTGAATTCTGTACGTGGCACAGAGCTTGCATATATCTGGAAATTAAGAGTTACTTCCATTTTTATACTTTGCTTTCATAAAATAATCAGGCACACAATTTCTATCACCATTGGACCAAACAGAGAAGCAAGTAACTCAATTACCTGCTGGCCAGCACCCTCTGTAGCCAGCATTCTACGTTCCTTCAGCTGCCGATGTAAGAGAGCCTCCACACCATAGCGTTGTCGATAACGCCTTAAATATTTCAATTGCTTCAAGTTTTCACGTTCTTTAGACATAAGACCCTCTGGGCCTGTCAGGAGACTGCTACCTGGAAGACATTAATAACGCATCCTCGATGTAGAATTGAAGTATTATACCTTCTACTACAAATCAAAATAGTTCTTCGGGGAGTTTATACATTCTGCTTTGGGAAAGAAACTGCTTTAGCCCAATTCTTAGAGATTTGATTGTTGCTTTAGAGAAGAAATACAAAATGATCACCATAATTCTACTGCAGGGATGAGCAACATGAAGCTTCCTTTCACTCCGCATTGCATTGTCATTTCAATAGTGTGATTTTCAATGTTCGGTTTCCTACTTCCATTACACTCTCCCAACCCCCACCCCTCAACCTTAAGGCCTAATATAGTTCCATTGGGATCCAACACTAGCCCGTTTTGGAAGAAATGTAAGGTTGGGAATTGGTCAGATTGGAAGGCTGTCTTGATTCCCCCGACCCTTGAAATGCTGCCCATCCCTGTTCTGTAAAACTATGATGTCTGTAAGGTTCTACTACTCTGAGAATAAATGTAGCACTTCACAAGATTTTTAAAAGGTAAGTAAAAAAGAATCAAGGTGCAATCTAGAGGAAGCACCATCTTCCAGCAATGTTGTCATGGAAGACTTTTGGGGTGATGTTTTCAGAACATATATTTCAAAAACTACTCTGTAATATATATAAAAGCACTTTGTTAGAACTAATTAAAATAACTTGAAACAATTAACAAGTGTTTCCTTAGCTAGTCTCATAGGATAATTGATTGGTGATATTTATGCAAACACTTTCTCTTCATGAAATAATGAAGTTTTTATTCATTATAGGAGCCAAATATTCTCTTAATAAATATCACAGATCTCTGAATTCAGACATATGGTATATGAAGCTCTCTTTCACTTGTGGCTACAATGCAGTTCTCCTATTTTTGGGAACAGATGGTGCTCAAATGCTGAACATTTCTAATTAATCTGAACATTACCTTAATAAGTACCACTTTAAGTAAATATTAACAGGCCAAAAAAATCAAGATATATCTACAAAAAAAGTAGTCCCCAAGCTCCTAAGCTCTTGGTAAACTGCTTCTGATAGCTGCTCTAATGAATTTCACACCAAATTTTGTGATGTCTTCAGTTTATGGTCAGAGTTGTAGCCATTTACCTATGGCTTCATGTTCCACCTTCCGGCTGTGCAAATACCGGCGCTTCTTCTCTTTCAGAAGGTGCTGAAGCCGTTTGAACTGATCAATATACAGAGACTGTAGCCGGATCAGTTTTTCTCGCATGATCAGTGCCACCTCTTCAGCCGTATACACACCAGCATGTCTGCACAAACAGGATCCAATCACAACTCATCCTCTCTAATCATTAACATGGAGAATCACCTAAAGCAGTGTCAGGTAACAAAAGTAAGCTATTTAAAAGCAAAGAAATCAATCAGCAAGACCTGTGACCTTCAGCAGGGAATATTTAATGCAAAACATTTTGAAACCAAAATGCTAACTTGAGGAAGTTCAACACAATATGTCCTGGAGGAGCTACACAGCTGAAGTTTACAGTACTGTCTTAAGTACAAGTAATGATCTGAAATATTTTTGTACACTTTAAAGAATGAGAAAATATGAGATGACAGCTTTCAAAAATGCATTCTACAAGGCCTTCTCTCAACAATTGTTTATAATTTTCAGTTAGTGTAAAATATGGTTGATACATTATCCAGTTGCTGCTTAATTGCACACCAGAAAATATGGCAAATCACATGTGTTACATAGAAATATTTGAAACTTTATGGGGCCACAAATAAAGTCATAAATGAAGAAGTTATGGACTAATATACTTTTCGTAAATGCCCCAGAAAAAAAGGGCAGGCCAAACAAAACATCAATGTAGATTAATGATCAACATTAATTTGCTTTCATTCATACTGGTCAAAATATGTATTTATGAGTACAGGTTGGACTTGAGGGTTTTGTGGACAGAGTAGGACTGATGAAACTTAAGTCCCCTGCATGCCACTAACCACAACTTTCAACCATCAGTAAGCAGTTCCAATGAGAGGGGATATTGCACTTCGTAGTTTAAGAACATTTTAAGCTTCTCACCTATATACCCCATCATCAACTATTCTGGTGCTCCTAAAGAGAACAAGTCAAAATTGACACTAGGAAGACTGATCCAAATTGTTCTGGAGGAGGAAGCATTATGCTAAAGCAAGAACTTTGTCTTTGAAAGCTTTTACTCAGTAGATGAACTATCTCTACTGCAAAACTCCGCAGCAGTAATTCACACAACGTTACTCAAGACTTACTTTAAAGGATCCTCTTGGTCACTATCAATGCTATCTGCTTCACTATCAGGATCACCCCTCCACGTCTGATCCACAGTAAGAGGCTCCTGGTCTCCCTCACTCCAGCTATCTTCATCTGGAAAAACAAAAGAGAATACAAATATGTTGACAGTGTACATTCTTCAGTAAAATTAGTGTAATGTCATCAATATAAACTAAAACAGAGCTACCAAAACTAATCACTAGAGCATCATTGGAAAATCTCACCTTTCTATTTACCTAAATGTCAGACCAATACACCCATAATATAACCTTGATTTGGTAAGGAAACAAACAGCATCATAATCAACATATTTATTTGGTCATCTTATTTGGCAGAAGTAATAGATTATGTGGTTCTGATTTTTTTCAAGTAAACCATGAAGACAATTCACAAATGCAAATCACCTCCACATAATTTTAACTATCCACCAATTAATATATGCTGCACCCACTATCAACTTAATATTGTAAATTTCTTCCATTCTTCATCCAAATACCTACAGGGAAGTGAAATCAAATTCTTTTTAGAAAACTGAGTTGGTTACTTGCAGAGAGCTCTCAAATTAAGGCTGAGATATCTGTAAAAATAAACTGCAAAATCTGTAAAATAAAAATAAAAGGCACAGGATACCATCCCGATAGAGGATATTCTTATCTTTTATAGCTTATTCAAAAAAAATATTTTCTGAGTTTTCAGATTATTCTGCAAATGGTCCATATTGATTTATAGGATTCATCAGTAAACGTATTATGTTAAATTTACTGTATTTTTCGGAGTATAAGACGCACCTTTCCCCTCCTAAAAGAGCCTGGAAATGTTGGTGCGTCTTATACACTGAATACAGCCATTTTTGGACTCCCAAAGCCCCACCCCCACATCCCACTTTATGAAAAACGGGCTGGTTTTTTTTTTTTTTGCAAAAAACGGAACCTTTTTTGCCTTTCCTCAGGCCCCAGCAGCCCTCCGCAGGCTTCAGCAGGGCTGGG